TCCCCTTGGTTTGAAATGAGCTTTATTAGTTGCTGCACTTTCCACTTTCTCAGCCTTGTTTGCCATAGACAGCTCCTCTTTTCTCCCAAAGAGACCATCTGAGCCAATCTCCTTTTGAAGTTGTGCACACACATCATCATAGCTTTGGAGCTCCTTAGCTCTCAATATGTGTTTAACCACATCACTGAAGTTTGAATTGAGTGTGAGAAGAATACCAAAGACCTTGTCTTGCTCACGCCTCTCCTCAAGAGTGTTGGGATCATTAGTGTTTGGCCTTAGCATTTCCAATTCCGACCATAGCTGACTATACTTCCCAAGATGCTTGGTGAAGTCACTCTCCTCTTGCTGCAAATTGTTGATGGCTCTCTTAACTTCAAAGATTCTGGTCAGATTTGAAGTATTGCCATACAGCTTTTTAAGGTATCCCACAACTGTTTTGGAGTTTCACAATGTGAGTAAGAGTCCATGATAGGACCATCAAGAGAGCTTTGCAATATAGACAGCACCATGAGGTCTTCCTGATCCCATTTGCCTTCATCTACCACTACAATCTCCTTGCCATATTCTCCTTGGGTGATTTGCCTTGGTGCAGAACTTGAGGTGATATGCTCCCAAAGACCTCTTCCTCCAAGGGCTGTTTTGGCCAATCTAGACCAAGTGATGTAGTTTTCTCCTCCCTTGAGAACAACAGGAATCTTGACTTGTATGAATTGATTCATCTTCAGAGACTATTACCCACTGGTTACACAAAGAAGCCAAGAAAAAAACAGTCACTGAAATTTTACAACTCAAGAACACAGATTTTTTTATCCCCAAAATAAAGTAGATCTGGAAAGAAAATAGAAGGAGTAGATTGATAAATCAAATAGAAGAGAATATCAGAGTTAAATCGCGGAAGCAAAATAGGAACACAAGAGCTTATTGCTCTGATACCATATTAGAAAGTGAAGTTTTGAGATTGAAGAACAAGAGAGAGATGAGAGAAAAGAGTAAAGAAAGAGAAACTTTTTCCCTTAGATCTAAAAAATAATGTTACAATGAGTTATAAAGAAAGAGAACATTCATATTCTAGTCACCAAACATACTTGGCTTACTAGAGAAGCTAGAATAAATAACTAATTTATTTATTTAATTCAATAGGTCTGGTTGTGTGTTTCGATGGTGTAATGACTAAACTGCATAACATGAAGCCACTGAAGCTGTCCATCTTTGATATGTCCTTCGTAATCTGTCACTCATTCTTGGTTTTCTGTACTTATCCATTCATTCTCATTGAAGCCTTCTTCATGCAGGGCGTAAATGGTGTCGACCCAGAGGAGACAGAGCTGTTCATCGTATACCAACTGATAGTCTAAGTGAATTAACATTTACTTCATAATGAGAAGCTGAACCATATCATAGGATACGTCAACTTGACTATGAATCAAATAATTTTAACTTTCACAGAGTATTGTAAAGTATAATAGAATAGTAAAACCAACCTACGCATATGAACCGGGGCTTCTAGCTCTAGTAGTAAAGGGCTTACAGCTGTGAGTACCGCCACCTGGGTTCGAAATTAACATTTCGGCATCGCCAGGGACAGAGGACCGACACGTGGCAACACGTGGCTAGTCTGGACCACTTATGTGGGGGCTAGGATACCTCTGTATAATTCAAAAAAAAAAAAAAAAACCTACGCATATGAAGGTTACTGATAATCTCCAGTATCCTTCGTATTTGTATTTTTTTCTTACTCTGCTTCTCATACATATTTTTTTCTAAACGGTTTACAGTCCATATATATTATTTCATTGTTCATCGGTTTACTTTTCATACATATACTTTACCAAACTCTTTAAGTATCCAATTTTTTTTTTTAATATGCTGCATACTAAAATATCATATACTGGTTTCATAAAGATATCACGTACAGTCTACATGGACATATGGCCGATGCTTACTTCCATTGTTATATTAAATGATATTAAGAAAAACATTTCTAAAAAATTAGCAAAAACCACAACAACACATTTTACTCCTCACTCAAGTAACAAACCTGGGAATCTAGAACCGAACACAATAGCATATTAAGAAAAATATTTCTAAAAAAATAGACAATATATAATAATAATAATAATAATAATAATAATAATAATAATAATAATAATAATAATAATAATATTGTATAACTAGAAAACAATGCTCAAATCAGCTTTCACAATTTAAACTCAAATTTAAATTTTATTACTTTATCAATAAAATATTTTGATGTATATGATATATCTAAATGAAATGAAATATGGTATTTTTTTTTAGTTAATAATTATAAGTTGACTTACATTTACAATGTAAAATAAATAAAATTAGTAAAAAAATTATACACAGTATGGAAAAAAATACTAAATTTAACTGGTGATTTCTCATATGATTTCATGGTAACACCCTAGAAATCTTCATTTTTTGTCTAAGCTCATTTCAAGTTTAAATGTTCATTCTTAAGAAAAAGGAAAAAAAAAACTACAACTAGATGTGATAACACAAACAAGCATACTGCAAATATTCATCTTTGCAATATAAAAGCGGTAGCTAAACTTTTTTTGTCAAAATAATCTTTATAAATTAATAGAATATTATTATTATTATTTTTATTATTAATTTATAGATTTGTTGTATTCGGTGGCTATATTTAATCTATCCTTACCTTTAATATGTTCTTACAAAATACTAGACACATAAATAGCCATAATGACTTACTAAAGAGCATATCATAACATTAAAACCTCCTCAAAATAGTATGCAATTTGTTTCAGACTTCTTCTCTCATAAGTATCAAACAAGGAAGTCGTGTTTTCTCTTATGTCAACACGTGTGTACCACACTGGACTGACACTCACTACTCGGCTTTCGTCGATTCGTACAAAAATTCGTCTTTATATTTCATCGTGACAAAAAAAAAAGTATCAAACCTAAGAGTAAGTGCATCAGTGAAATCCCTTTTGGGATTCACAAATTTAATTTTTTTTTTCGTTTGACTTTTAAAAAAAAAAAACAGACCAATAACAGATCGTCACGTGGCGTGGAGCCCGCAAAAAAGTCATGAACCAGGTTTATAGGGAGGAGGCGCTGCGAACCGAGTTCATCCAAAATGATTATTATGAAAAAAAATTTTATTGGGAAACGTATGAAGTTTTGATGTGGCTGCTCTAATAGATCTTTTACATTGCTGATATAGAGAGTAAACGACAAGGAATAAGCCACTAAATATACATGTATTGAAAATGGTCAGAAGATACATTGCTGATCTCAAATAAGCAAATGAAAACTAAGTTTTGTTTCCAGAGGTCTGAAATCAGGTACTCACCAAACATAACCATAATCTCACAAAATTTTCCATTTATGTATACTAGGTATTACATGGAAAATTTTAATGTTGACATGCTTTCACGTATATTAATTTAAGCATTTTTAAATATGCCACAATGCTCTTGGTTGAGGCCTTGACTTTAAGAACTGATAGCAAAACATTAGAAATGTGCTATAAGAACTGTACGCTACAAAAGCAATACTTTCATAAACATCTTTAATAAATTGGTTGGTAGAACATTAATTGATTTATATCTAAAATTCATAAATGACATATACTTTGTTTCTTTCTAAATAATAAAAATATATTTATATTTATCATATATATTAATTTATATATTTTCATTGACAACAATAAATCATATTTATTTTTATTTAAAATGTGAAGATTATTTTTTTAGAAAATTAAAAATAAAGTATTTTATTTTATTTTATTTCCGTTTATAAAATAGGTAAGTAATTATTGCATACAAATATAATTTTGTGATATTATTAAATTAAATAGATAAATTAAATTATTTTAATTTTTATATATTTTAAATATAAATACTATAACAAAAGCTTTATATGAAAGCATTGAACAAAGAGAATTTTAAAGCTATTTTCAGGTTCTAAATTATTTTATAAATATTTTCCTAATTATTATTGATTGAATAATAAATAGCATTATGCCAATGTTTTGCCAATGAAGACCTAAATCTTTATAGATTTCTCAGGTTAGTCTCATACTAAATGTTATTTTTAAAGTTACACACTTCCAGCATTCTTTTTTTTTTGACATCAACCTCTGGCATTCTTTCATATGTTTTTATTTTATTTTTATGCTTTTCCAAACAAAACCATAAACCTCTTGGATCAATATATATATATGTATATATATATATATATATATTATTTTTTTCTCACTTTCTCTTGATATATAAAAAATCCAAACTCTAATTCAATTCCGGATATTTGTACAAATATCGAGCTTAAATAAAAGATGTGTTCTAAATTTAGCTTAGGACAAACGTAAATCATTAACAAAACATTAATTAAAGGACAATAGATATCTACCTTCTTTACAAACTGAAATTTTGTTGATTCCTTAGAATAAAATTATCAAATGATATCATATATTTTTACTAAATTTATAGGGAAAATTATATACTCCCTCCGTTCCATAATATAAGATGTTCTAGAGAAAATTGATGTTTCAAAATATAAGATGTTTTGATATTTTTAAGGTACTTTAATTTTATAGAAAACCGGTTGATCAATAGTATTTTAGTTTATTATTTATGATTCGTTAATTTATTTTAAATTTATACTATCAATGATGTTATCTTTTAAAAAGTTAAGTTTCTTAATTCTTGTACTTTGGATAAAACATCATATATTGTGGAACGGAGGGAGTACAATACTAACCAAGCGTAGCGCGGAAAAAGAACTAGTCTCATTATTAATAATGTAATTTAAATTCATTAAATCTAACTAATCCTAATTAACTAATGGATTTTGCAGCTTTCACGCTGCTTAAATTAAAAGTCGGCCCAGGGGAAATATTAATGCTTTGAAAAACGGTTGCTAGCCCAATAATAATGGGACCATCTGGAGAAGAAGCATCTTGGCCCACTTTCTTCCTCCACCGTTTTGAGTGTCACCGGAGAATCTGACTGGAATCCTCGCCGGCGTAAACAAAAGTTGAATGAAGGAAGCTTCTTTTTGATATGCGGTAAGAAGCAATCATCGTTCGTTCAATCAAAAACTAAGAAGGGCTAACTACATATCAATGGAAGCTGAAGATGACCTCTTCGTGCGTCTCTATTTCTTTCTCAAATGGTTTCAAAATCTCTATGGCTTTTGCAAGTTTTAGTCTTTTGTTTGATTCGTAATGGTCTCTTTGTTTGGTTGGACAGGATGGTAATTATACTCCCTATACCAAGAGGAAAGTTGAAAGCTTCTTTGGTCTCTTCTGCGTTATGAGAAAGAGAATTCGTGGGGACATCTCTGTTGATGATGATATGTCTTATTCGGACGCAGAGGAGGGTGATGATGACTTTTGCTGCAGTGACAGTGACACAGACCTGTCTGAATGTTCAGAGTTTGATATTATATTACAAGACAATGGTTTAATTGAGTCTGAGTCTCTGTCTACATGCAACTCTCCTTGTCTCAGTGAGGATCATAAGATTGGTTTTGAAACCTCTTCAATGCCTTTAAAGAAAACCCTTGAAGGACCTGGTAGGCCATTGTCAGTGTGTGGATCTGTAGTCGCAGTCAGAAACATACCTTTACTGGGAGATAGTAATGGTAAGGATGCAGAGATTTCTCAAACTATGTACAAGGAAGAAGATGTTGATGATGAAGATGAGATGTCTTTTTCTGAAATTGATGCAATGGTAAAACTTGATTACTCTTTGAAACGCAAGTCTGACAAGATTTATCATCAAAATGTGTGTGTTTTCTGATCTCTGACTTCACTTGCAAAACATCTCCAGATACGCAGATTGAATCTGATCCCGGATGATGAATCAGATTCATTCTTAGATTTGGAAGGTAACTCATACGGCTATTGATGTCCAAACATGCTACTTGTTCACTTTGTTGCATCCACAAAAGTTGTTAAAAAATAACAGTTCTAAACTAATAGTTGTCTCATTAATCATTTTTAGAACGGAACAAGTCTAAGCATCCAAGATATACATTACTTGGACTGGAACACTGCTCAGTGACTTCAATTCCGAGAGGGATTATTTCTCAAGGGGCAATAGCTGTCCTTCACGGTCGTGATTTGAAGCATTTTATTAGGAAACACGAGGTATGTAAAGACAATCCGTGTCCTATCTAGTCCTCTTAGTTACATGGCATAAACTCATTTGTTTGTTGAAGGTAATTATTGGGAGATCATCTGATGGAATGAATGTGGACATTGACTTGGGTTTATATGGTTATGGGAGTAAGATATCTCGGCGGCAGGTGATTCTCTTTCTCTTTTCCTTCTCAAAGTTAAAAACTAGTTCACTGATCAAAGTTCTTAATTACCATAACTTATATGTGTTATACTCTTCTTTCTCCATATTTTTCTTCCTAGGCATTGGTGAAGCTAGAGAACAACGGATCATTCTCTCTAAAGAACCTTGGAAAGCGACATATCCTTGTAAATGGGGAGAAGCTCAGTACAGAACAGATTGTATCCCTCACATCATGTAGCTCAGTCAACGTAAGTACTAGATTATGCTTTGTTTATGCGCGTTGTTGCATCTTTCTATTAACTAAAAGTTTTCAAGATGTGCAGATTAGAGGAGAAGTCTTTGTGTTCAAGATTAACAAAGAAGCAGTGAGACAATTCTTGAAGAACAACACACGGAGAAACAACAAAGACGACACCAAGTTCAGATGGGTCGAATAGATTATTGTTAGTACCTTTTGCTCTACTCGCCTCTGCATAGTCTTATTCACCCACCAGTCAGCATGATTGAAAGACACACAACGCCAATGAGTGATCCCTTTAATCAAATGTGAACATTTTAGTCTTCTTTGGTAGATTTATAAGCTAGTTAGAGCCAAATGATTTGGAACCTTTGCTTGCAACAGCTGCAATTACTTCTCTAAAGTGTTTTGTAGTTCTGTCAACAACCAATTATTTAATTTTAGATATTGACAATTTATGGTCAAATGGGTACCTCAGGTTAGAGGACAAACAAATCCTTAACTGAATTTTGTCTATATATGACTTGTGAATAATATGTCTAATTAATAATCTGAATTGTTCTGCTTTGGAATCTAAAGAGAAGAATCAAAAACTCTTCTTACATCTGAGTTTATGGTGGATGTTGATAGGACCAACCACACCTCACTGTTCCCTACTTGTCATCCATCAAGCATATGTCGGATGGACCATGACACACATGTATATATTAATATCTCTCTCTATATATAGGAAACATCTTTCAATAGATATCCATCACACGTCTTGCTCCTCTCATCCAACGGTTCTTTTTTTCTCACTCCAAACTCTCTTGTAGAGTCTGTCTCAGAAACCAAACATGGCTCCTCTTGTTTCTCTTTTTGTTCTATTGCTCACTGCTTCTTTGGCAGAGTCCAAGACTTACTGGGCTGACGTGGCATCTCTTAAAGAATTCAAAAACTCTGTCGACGCCAAGTCCATGACCCCTGGCTCTTGCCTCAGTTCCTGGGACTTCTCCGTCGATCCCTGCGATAGTTTATCCGGCGAAACATTCACTTGCGGTTTCCGCTGCGACACAATCGTTTCCGGATCAGGTCGGGTCACGGAGCTAATCCTCGACGCAGCCGGTTACTCCGGCTCCCTCTCCTCCGTCTCGTTCAACTTCCCTTATCTTCAGACCCTCAAACTCTCCGACAACCACTTCTCCGGTCCACTTCCCAACTCACTCTCCAACCTCACCCGCCTCACTACCCTCTTCCTCTCCGGAAACTCCTTCTCAGGATCCATACCCGCTTCCCTCGGGTCAATGCCCCTTCTAGAAGACCTCCTCCTCGACAACAACAACCTCAACGGTTCCGTTCCGACAAGTTTCAACAATCTTTCCAGCTTAAAACGGTTAGAACTCCAGCTCAACAACATCTCCGGCCACTTCCCTGATCTAACCTCGCTCAAGAACCTAAACTACCTCGACGTTAGCGATAACCGAATCTCCGGTTCGATCCCATCATCGTTACCCGGTTCAATAGTCCAAATCTCAATGCGGAACAATCTCATGGAAGGAACGATACCAGAGAGGTTCAGAAACTTAACCTCTCTTGAAGTTATCGATCTTAGCAACAACAAACTCAGTGGCTCGGTCCCATCGTTCATCTTCACTCATCAAGCTCTCCAACAGCTTACTCTCTCCTTCAACGGTTTCACCTCGTTAGACTCACCTTACTACTCACCTTCAGGTCTCCCCAGCGAGCTAATCTCCGTGGACCTCAGCAACAACAAGATCCGAGGCCCATTACCATTGTTCATGGGTTTATTACCAAAGCTCTCAGCTCTGTCGTTAGAGAACAACAGCTTCTTCGGTATGATTCCGACACAGTACGTTTGGAAAACCGTGTCGCCTGGGTCCGGTTTCGTCGGGTTTCAGAGGCTTTTACTTAGCGGTAATTTCTTGTTTGGTGTTGTACCGGGTCCTTTGATGGCGCTCAAGGCTGGTTCAGCAAATGTGCAGCTCGCTGGAAACTGCTTCTCGTGGTGTCCGGCGACGTTATTCTTTTGTCAGGGACACGAACAGAGATCTGTTAGGGAGTGTAGAAAGTTTCGCCGTGTAATTCCTTGATTACTTCTTTTTTTTTTTACATGGCTTGAATCTCCGGGTCGGGTCGGATCTTTGTGATCATGTGGAGTAGGCCTGTTCAATATGGTGTTCGGTCCGGTTTCGGTTCGTTTTCTTCGGTTTTCGGTTATTCGGATTATAAAAATTAGCTACCATATTGGAACCATATTTAATTTGGTTTGGTTCGGTATTTATACTACCGGTTTTCGGTTTATTCAATTTTATACCAAATAACATTATTATTTGATTTAGTTTCATATTATATAATTTTTTTTAGAAAACATATTGTCAAAACTATCATTTATTAAAATAATCCTAGGTGTTCATAAATATAAAAATGTGAAATTAACAACAAACAAAACGATCAACGATTCAGTTTTGTATAGCTTTTCTTATTTTCTCTTTATTCTTCCAAATAAATTACATGGTACAATCTAATTTCACAATTTCTTACAACATGTAAAATCAAATCAAATTTAGATAATAGTTGAAGAAAATAAAATAAAATTATTAAGATATATCTTCACAAGGTATAAAAAAATAAAATTAAAAAGACTATTCCAAGAAAATAAATGGTTATATAATGTATATATTTATATATTTTTTCTTTGATCGGTTTTGTTCGGTTTATTCGGTTTAATCGGTTATAAACCTAACCATATCCAAATCCTACGGTTTTTATAAAATCATATCCATTCGGTTTATATGGTATATACCAAATCCAAACCATATTGTCTATTTCGGTTCGGTTCGNTATTCCAAGAAAATAAATGGTTATATAATGTATATATTTATATATTTTTTCTTTGATCGGTTTTGTTCGGTTTATTCGGTTTAATCGGTTATAAACCTAACCATATCCAAATCCTACGGTTTTTATAAAATCATATCCATTCGGTTTATATGGTATATACCAAATCCAAACCATATTGTCTATTTCGGTTCGGTTCGGTACGGTTCGGTATCACCATATTGAATAGCCCTAATGTGGAGCTTTAAAGTAGGGTCTTTCCGGCAGTTGCTAAACCCGAAGCTTAAAATGTGATTAAATTAATAAAAGTGCCGTTAAGAGAGTCAACTGTGAGATGATATAATATATAGTATCATCTAATGACAAACTAATTTGCATTCAAATATAGAAAACTCTCACTTAAAAGAGAAGCTTTCAGTTACGTACAAACAACACTATAAATACTTTGCATTCGCATACGTTTATACTCATCATGCAATTGGTCATTTGTAAGTGACAGACTGATGTTTGGAATTCTACGCTTAGCTCGTGAGAGGCCATAACCTTATATTATACATTCACAAGGTTATATCGGACATATAATCAGTTGGTAACTGTCAACCATACTTTATACTATACATTCACAGAGTTATATTGAAGAGATAATCAATTGGTAATTGTCAACCATTCGGTTTCATATCTATCATATGTATGATTATGAGTACTTTTTAAGTGGATGGATAAATAATATAAAAATGTGCTCACCCTTCCTAGAAATCATAATAATTTTTCTCTTTAATACATTAATATTTCTTAGAATTTAATTGAAATAATCAACAAATGTTCCTTGACATTGTCTGAATCAGCTTTATTGCCACTTTTTAGTTGTCAAAAATTTGAAAATAAAATAAAATAAAGTTTTGATTGGTAATTAATAGAGTAAAAATGTGAGAAATACATTGTTGGAAAAGGAGGAAAGAGAAATATGAGAATGGGAATAAAATTTTACTTTTGGTAAAAATAGAGGATTTGATTGAGTTTCACAGTAACATAAAGTAAAAGAAATAAGGAAAAAATAGAAAAAAGTGGAAAACAAGAAATAAAAAGAGAAAATGACATAAAAGTTATTACTCTAACAAAATGTAGAGTAAAAATGGATGTATATGCTCATCATTTCAATAGTAAATAGAGTAAAAATGAAAAAGTGATATTCCACTTGATTAGTAAATTTTTAGTGAACTTTAAGTAAATTAAATTTTAGAGTTATAAATCATTTTAGAAATGTTTTCCAGTCACACTCAAAGTAACATATTACATTATTTCTACACTATTTTATAATCAATGGACTAAAACTATTTTTTACTTTATTTGATGAAAGTAGAGTAACTCAACAGAAATTTGTTTTTTAAGGTAGATGGACTTCAACATAAAACCAATTGGTGATAAATGGATTGGTTCATCTATTTTATATACTAGATAAAATATCTTCCGACAACCGATGTGAAACATTTGTTCCTAATACACCCGTTCGAAATGATGGGTTTTTTGGCGTCAATCTCGAAATGTTTGGGGAAGGATCGATGGGTCGATTTTGGGCTAGATCGATAAGGATCGGATTGGACTGATGGATCGTGGGCTCTGATACCATGTTAAGATATACAAGCTTTTAACATAAAACCAATTGATGATAAGTAGTTAGGTTCATTTATCTTATATAGTAGATAAAATTCCTTTCAAAAATAGATATATGACCTTTGTCCCTAATAGTTTTTACTTCTTCTTATTGTCGCTAAAGATGCATTACAGTCTCACTTATAAAATTTAGAAATAGACATTAAAAAGTAAGATTTTATTTTGTCGATGTGTAGAACCCACAAGAAATTTAATTTGATAACTAATCAGTAAATTGCAAAAAAGGAAACAATTGTATTTCATTATTTCATGCAAGTTTTTCTAAAATGTCACTAACATCTACAGGAAATTTCCACAAAAATATTATATCTAAATTTTGTTAAGCATTTTAATATACAAGCGCTCAGAGCATGATTAATGGGAGAAGAGAAGGAGTGCTTAGACCATGCAGGTTTAATGGGAGAAGAGAAGGAGTGCTTAGACCATGTGCAACGAAGTGTTTTAACCAATCCTTAACTGTTACAAAATTAATAAAATAGTTATGTGGAGCCCGCTTTTTTAGGTTGTTGTGTCACAAAAATCCTTGATTAAGGATTTAATTTTGTCCAGTATAATCACTGTTCGTGGGCCCTGAATGATCATCCTTCTTTTTTAGCTTAAAGAAAAATAAATAATAATAAAAAATTCTAAATTATTATTCTTAAGAATTTGTGTCCAGCTACGCGATTGCTGATGGTCTTAGGAGAGATTTTAGAGGAGAGGACCCATACAAAACACAAAATCTGGTGCTTCTGGGGCCAAATCAAGCGTCCCTTTTCGTGTGATGCTTGCACTGTGCGTGGGCCCCACCAACACGTGGCGACCCGCGATTCATTTTCTTTTAATTTTTTTTTAATAGGACGAAAATTAAAAAAAAAAAGAAAATTAAAAAAATAAGCACCCCACTAAAAACTGATGCGTTGATCATGCTCTCACAAACTCCACAGTGACTTAAGAAGAAAACTCAAATGTGCCCCATTAGTGTAGACTGTGTAGTGCACTCAAATAAAAAGTAGTAACACTAATCCAAAGAAGAACCATAAAAGTCCATCGTCCAAAATCCATACAACAATAATACGATAGATCCCAAGCAATGTAGGTGGTGATATGATCACTGTTAAAGCCTAATCGTTTAGGCCATCTTTAAATAAAGAAAGAAAAGTATTCATCTCACTCTTTTTCAAGCACACTCCAATCTCCACACCACCTGCCCCATCTCTCCTTCCCAACATAGAGAATGCTTCATTGCGGTCAATGGACACAAACTCGGTTTTAACAGGTTTGCCCCATCCAAAATCTGTCCCGTTTATCCCTAATCGGGTTGACCCTGCCACACTTCCCGCCTGCTCACCTAGTTTAACTTTCTTCACGCTCTCCAGATAGTCCTCGAAGAGTGACTCTGTCCCTCGCAAACCTAAATCTTTGACCGAATCACTTAGAATCTCGGCTGCTTTAACAAAACCATCTTCTCCCAAAAACGTTCTCGCTTCGTATTGGAACCAACCCGACGGAGCCACACAGCTCCCAAAGTACGTGGCGGGAAGCGGCGGGTCTAAACGAGCCCTAAAGTCCGCTGTATAAATAAAACGTACCGGTCTATCCGCGTCGCCTCCACGCGCTTTCACTGCACATGTCCATGCGTAAGCATACGCAATGACAAAGGTTGACAAGTGAAGCTCGAGAGGGGAGCGAGCTAATTTTTTCTTGACTCGTTCCCGGAGCTTTTCTACGTTCTCCGAAGTTAACTCAAGAGTGACACGGACAACGTCGGGGCATATATCGTTTAGGGGAGGTGGCTTCAAGGATTTGAAGTTGTCACCGTCCTTGGAGAGATATGACAAAAAGTCAATCATCTTTGACTCAAGTCCAGGTGAAATATTGATGACCGTACGATCAAAACTCGGAGTTAGATCCTCCGGAAGAAAAGGAAACTCTATGTTCCTACAAATATGAGCCCACGATTTAATAAACATTTCTGACGTGGCACCGTCGTTGACAGAGTGGTGCGATGTAATGCCTATGCAAAACCCTTGGTTCGGGAACAACGTGACTTGCACGGAAAGAAGTGATGCCGAGTCATCAGAGACTTCTAACTCAGGCACCAAGGGATGGAACTCGGTTGCGGGGCGTAGTTCGTTGCTGGTTAAAAAGGAGAAGTCTGCGTCGGTCTCTGCGACGGTGAGAGAGACCGTGTCGTGCTTGGAGACGATGACGGAGGGCCTTGGATCTTGTGGGGCCCACGTGAGGCGCCCGGCGAGGGGTAGGTAGTAGCGGAGGACGTGGGAGAGTGAGAGCTTGAGATTTGGGAGGATGCGAGAGTGGAACGTCTCGGATGATGATGACTCGGTGAGTCTGTAGAAGATGACTCGCTCGTTAGGGTGGAATTTAATCCAGCGTAACTCGAAGAAGGTTAGAGGGAGACTGAAGGAGTTGACTGAGTCTTCATCGGAGGATTTGGTAGCAGGGCTGAGTTGGATCTTCTCGATCACGTTTAGCATCATTGATAGAGGAGGAAGCTAATGAAGTACCGGTTTGTTTTGTTTTTTTGAACATTCTAAATGAGTCTCTAAATATATTCATATCACCAACCGCTGAGAACGGACCTGACAATTCTAGAAGCAATGCACGTGAATCATGTTTTCACCAATAATTTGATCAAATCGACGAAAATATGATTATCTAGCTGTCAAAATGGGAAAATTGTCATTTAAATCCCAAACTTTCAAATTTGATTGAAAAAAAGTATGAACTTTCTCTTATTTTGAATAGCCATTTTAAAACTCAATTTAGTTTGACTAAACCAAATCAAACACGACGTTAACTCGGGTAACGGATCGATTAGACGGAGTTAATCAACGTCTCTAATTTTCATTAAATCGTCTAAACGACGTCGTTTTAAAAAAATTTAAAATATTGCAACTAGAGGGAATCGAACCAGAGACCCAAAAGGCAAACTCACTCCAAGACAAAACCACTAGACCACTTGCACTTTTTGTAAATTAAATGAATACTAATAGATTTATTATGAACCATCCAAATCATTTTCTCACCCTAAATCCCTAAATATTAAAACTTATAAATAACTTAAAAATTAAAAAATCGTAAATATTAGTAAAAATATTAAAACTTATAATAATGATTAATTTATTTATAAGAAGTATTAAAAGTATTAAATAACAATTTTTTTAATCATTAAGTATTATTGAATATTCAAATTTTCGTTCTTATACTTAATATTTAATTATTCAATTACTTAATGATTAAAAAATTGTTATTTTAATACTTCTTAATTACTGAGTATTATTAAATAATTAATTATTAACTATAAGAATGAAAATTTGAATATTCAATAACACTTAATGATTAAAAAATTGTTATTTAATATTTTTAATACTTCTTATAAATAACTTAATAATTATTATAAGTTTTAATATTTTTACTAATATTTACGATTTTTTAATTATTAAGTTATTTATAAGTTTTAATATTTAGGGATTTAGGGTGGGAACATGATTTGGATGGTTCATAATAAATCTATTAGTATTCATTTAATTTAAAAAAGCGCAAGTGGTCTAGTGGTTTTGTCTTGGGGTGAGTTTGCCTTTAGGTGTCGAGTTCGATTCCCTCCGGTTGCAATATTGTTAAAAAAATTAAAACGACGTCGTGTAGACGACTTAACGGAAATTAGAGACGGTGATTAACTCCGTCTAATCGATCCGTTACCCGAGTTAACGTCGAGTTTGATTTGGTTTAGTCAAACTAAATTGAGGTTTAAAATGGCTATTCAAACTAAGTTGGTGCTTTAAATGGTCCAAGAGAAAGTTCATGTTTTTTTCAACTAAATTTGAAAATTCAGGATTTAAATGACAATTTTCCCCTGTCAAAATGTATATGCCGTCCTAACTGACATTAAAATATGTTTTCAGTAAAGTTTGTACTTCCTCTGTTTATAAAAAAAATCCATATTTGAAAATTTTCATGCAAATTAAATTTTGACTGGCGATGTATTATTTTTTATAATTAATTATTTTTGAAATCACACATGTTTACTAAATTTTGTAATGAATTATTTCCACAATCTAATAGAATTCAATAACCACAATTAACTTTCTTCAAATTTACAATTTATTATTAAATAATATATTGCAAATGCAAAAATATTTATTATATTAAAATAATGTTTTTCTAAAATATGCAATTTTTTGAAACGGGAAAATATTAAAATAGTTAACTGCTGCCTTTATAGTGGTTCAAGTAATAAATTACTAAAAATATTTCTTTCATTTGTGGTCTACACACTGAAATGTTTCGAGTCCTTATAGTGTGGAGTTTGGTATGTGATCGCCACTTCCGACGGCCGTGTTCTTTTGAAAGACGCTGATGCAACGGCTAACTACCCAATTTATAATTATTTTCTTGTTCAAACGTCTAGAGAGTGACACTAGTGGTTGTGCTTTTACCAATCAAAAAATAATCGTACAACCATTCTAACTGCCGCTACTTTTTACAACCATTCTAACTGCCGCAGCGTCCGCTTAATAAATTTGCCATCATCTTTTTATTTAGTTTGATGTTTAACTTTTGATCACTAACAGCTGCGTCAGCGTCTTTTAAAAGAACACGGCTATGTCACACTGATTTCGGTTCCATTTCCTTGCCGCCAAATTCAGTATGACCCCTTCTCTTGCCACCGTGACTGACAGCCGAGACAGAAAAATATGGTTTAAAGTGGTTATTGCCTCCTCTGTCGATTCCTCTTTTTATGTTCGTTTCTGGTTCTCTTGTTGATTACCATATTAGTCGAAAAGAACACTCTGTCTCTGATTTAGTGTATTCAGTTTATGCTTCTGTTCACTACCTTATCTGTATTTGTTTTTGTTTTTTTGCATAGTTTGTTTCTTTCATTAGTGAAAACTCTTTCTTTTAAAAAAATAATAATGAAAAGAAATATGTATACTTGTCGGTAAATTAATAGACAATGTCATCTTATCATATAAAAACTGACTGCAACTAAAAGAACTATTTAAAATTAATAGACAATGTCATCTTGTCATTTTACATTCTATTGGTTCCAAATAATTTAGAACTATTTAAAATTATACGAGCTAAAAAATTATCATAAAGTGTATTTAGAATCAGGAAATAAATTCAAAAGTATAAAAAGGCCTTGTACCAAATACTACTCCCACTTTTAGCCCAAGTATAGAAAGCCCATTCAAAAACGGCTAGGAGTGGAGGACCCACATTATTAATTTATTAACCGTAAAAAACAAAAATCAAAAAACAATATTTCAAATCACAACGGTCGAATCGAGAGCTCTTCAAACATTCAAAACTCCTTTTACCTCAACGTCACTTCCTCTCTCTCTCACACACACTTAACGTTCATATTCTCTCTCTCACACTCTCTCACTAAATCTAAAACTCTTTCAGTTTCTCTCTCTACCTCGACCTGAAAACAATGAAGTCCCCTGCAAAGATCGGAGAGTCTCGTTTCTTAGGAAACATCTCAACTTCCTCGATCCGTAACCTCCTTCCCAGATCCATCTACGCCAAACAGAAATCAATCCAAAGTCAAAGTTTCAGATCCAACGACGAGAACGCGCCTCCCTGCGACCCAAACACACTCACTACTCATAACGATATTCAATTAAAGAACAAATCTCCTCACAAAGTGTTCCCCTCCGCTCTCCCCGAAGAACATACTCAGGTACACAGATCTATAACATTTGATACCTTACAATACGACACAGTATTGACATAAGTAGATGATTGATTAGGTTTTTCTTACTGTTTTGATTTCATATGTGACAGATTCTCAAATTGGGAACAAACACTTACTCTGAAGACAAGGAGGAGGATACTGTTTCAAACTCTCCTTCCAAGGTAACAGTTATTGTCGGAACGGTATGATAGTGAGAATCTTTAATGTTTAAGTCGTTTGATTTTGAATTTGAAATTACAAAACAGTTTGAAGGTAGGAGTGTACTAGCTACAAGATCTAGCTCAATGGATAATGAGATCACGGAGGAAGATGATGAATTGGGTGACCAGATCCGTGAACTAAAGGTCTCTTTTTTTTTGGTCTATTACACATTGGTTACTTGTTTATTTGTTGTGTGTTTTCATGATGTCATTGAGTGTATAATGTTTGTTTTTGTTGTGGTTTACAGGAGGAACTAATCAGAACCAAGTCTGATGGGTACAAGAGTGGTTACTTTGCAAGGGAGAGCTTAAGTAAACTGAGAATGAGCATAAACAAGTCTTTAGTCTCGTCCTGTGATGATAACAAAGAAGAAGAAGATGAAGATGATGATGATGTGATGAAGTTGAATAAACATGTTGAGAAGTACTGTGATGCTGATGACTTGAGGGATTCAGTGCAATCCTCCTTTGCTAGTGCTTCCTGTTGTGAAGCTGAGTCAATGAGTGGAGATGAGATCTGTTCTGAAGATGTAGAGGAGATACACAAAGACTGTGCCTTTGCTGAATCTGTTGGAAACGGGATTTCAATCAGTTTACCTCGTCAGACTCGTATCCTTGAAGAGCCGATTCTGTCAGAGTCTCCAAAGCTTAGGAACTTTCGCAAGAGTGTGGCTGTGTCCACAAAGTTTCAAGCAAGTGCTAGGAATGTAACTGAGAGCTCCAACCAGAGCCCTTCCGTGTCCAAGAAGTCTTCGAATCCAACGGATTCTCTAGCTGCAAGTCTCCACAGAGGACTGCAGATTATAGACTCTCACCAACGAAGCTCTTTATCAAACAGATCTACTGTTTCATTCTCCTTTGGGCATCTGTCTCTGAAGCCTTCCGATGAAGTTGAGAATCTCAGTGCTTCGGTTAAGTCGTGTCAAGAAGGTGGATCATCGATTCTCCTCTGCCTTTCTTGCAGACAGAAACTTGACCAAGAAGCTGAGGTATGTCTAGAAAACCTGAGATGCATTTTACTTTCAGTTTATAGTGAGCTTTTCATTTTGAATGTTTATAAATTATATTGCAGGGAGGATATAAGGCAACAGAAGAAGCCTGCACAGACGAGAAGCATCTCAAGAATATATGTGCTGAGCAGGCTGCTAAAATTGAGCAGCTAACTTGTCAGGTAACTTTTTGATAAGACTTATGATGACACTACTTAAGTATTGACGGCTAAAATTGAGTTTTCTGACAATATGTTTTGATGATTCTTCAGTTGGACCAATACAAAAAGAACACTGTGCAAGAGTCTAGTAAGGTAAGCCAACATGTAACAACATTTCAAAACACAAGCAAAACCAGTTTATGTCCTGTGTATTCACAGCTTTAATTATGCTTTATCTGTTTGTGCAGCTAACCAAATTCAATGATGGAGGAGATGAGACAAGCCAGCGTTGTGAAGAGTTTAGTGAAAAGGAAGCTCTTCTAAAGGAGATTGCAGAGCTTAAGAGCAAGCTGCAGCCTACTAAATCAACAGATAATCTTAGATCATCTTTGCTATTGCGGTCCTTTCAAATGAGGAAAAGCACTGATCTAACGAGAAACGCCGAGAACAACAGTGATGTTTTAGAGGAGGAACGTGAAAGGTGGACAGAAATGGAGAGTGAATGGATATCTTTAACAGATGATCTAAGAATGGATATTGATAACCATCGTAGACATGCAGAGGATCTGGAGACAGAGCTCAGAAAGGAGAAAATGGCTACAGCGGAGTTAAATGATGCTCTTGGTAGAGCCATGCTTGGTCACAGTAGATTCATTGAGCAGTATACAGAGCTGCAGCAGGAGTATGATGAGCTAGTTGAGAGGCATCAAGTGACGATGGCAGGAATAGTTGATGTGAAGAAAGCAGCGGCTAAAGCTGCAGTGAAAGGTCGTCACGGGAAGAGTTTTGCCAAAGCCTTTTCAGCTGAGCTTACTGCCATTAGAGCTGAGAAAGAGAAAGAAAGAGAGTTCTTGAAAAAGGAGAACAAGGGCCTTAAAATTCAGCTCCGAGATACAGCAGAAGCTGTCCAAGCTGCTGGAGAGTTACTTATCAGACTCCGAGAAGCTGAGCAATATGTACATTCCTCTGAGGTAAATTTTACTTTCATTTTTGGAAACGTGGATTCTAGATTATAGGAATAATTCGTAAACTTTTTGCTTGTGGTTGGTTGTCTCTCACTATTGAATTATAATGTCGGTTTGTGTTGGATTCAAAAACCATAACTGCAGGAACGTTTCAGCACACTTGAAGAAGAGAATGCAAAGTTAAAGATGCAAATGGAGAAGTTAAAGAGTAAGCACACAACAGAAATGAGCACAATGAAGCAATATCTTGCAGAAAGCAAATTGCCAGGGTCCGCATTAGAGCCATGGTTCAAGGAGAATGAGGAGCATGAAACAGAATACAGAACCGGGTTGGTCAAGGAGATTGAAGAACATGAAACAGAACACAGAACCGGTGTGGTCAGCTATGACGACTATGCGGACGATCAGGCATGGAGAGCTGAGTTTGGTGCCATTTATCAAGACCATCAGTATTGATGATGATTCTGTCATTTCATTTCAAGAACAAAAACTTTGTTGAATCAGTCTCCCCTCCTTTTGTCTCAGACAAGACCCATCTTGGGTCATCTTATCTTCTTATGTTGCCTAAAAATTCATATTATGTCTTGTTATTGTTTGATGTTGTTGTCTTTACATCTTCCATTGTTGTATGGCCATTAAATGAATCAGGTTTTCATGTAATCTGAATATTATTAATTCGCCAAAATCGTTCATTATTTTGTTTCTGATTTAGATTCAAAAGTTGAGCTTGGGAATTTAGGCATACTGTGAGGCAGATGGTCCTTCATTGGTGTAGCTTTTAAGCTGCGAAGCAATTATTTTAAATCGAATAACGATGAAGTTATATTTTTAGGGTATTTAACCACGATTTGTTTGTTCAGTTGAAAATTTTTTGTAGCTTGATTAGTATTGTATTTTAGTATATATCCTGTTTGATTTTATTTGTAAATGATTTTAAATTGCAATTTTATGAATATTCCTAAAGATACCTTTTGTTGTTTTTTTGGTTCTTTGGTTTTGATATTTTTGGATAAAAAGTACATTTCTGCGAATCTAATTCAAATAAATTTGAGTGCATTACACTACTAGACACTTTTCTCTCTTTTTTAACAAGATCAGTCACTTTGTGCTTGGAGGACACATTTTCTGAAACCGAGGTAGAAATTGGACGAAAATACCATTTCTTTGTCCAAGGTGATTTTCTGTTAAATAAAAAAGTGTAGGTGAGAGAATATATTTTCCGTAAAATTATCCAAAAAGGTGAGGGATGTTTTAGAGTTTATTATTATTTTAATTTGTCCCATTATATTTCGAGCTTTATTATTTTGTTTTCTGAGATATAAATACATTTATAATATATGTAGAAAACATATATTTTTTTTTCTTTGTATTTTGATATCCATATGCATATACTTTTATATTTTAATATTTTATTAAATTTTAAAATTTATAATTTTTTGGATTTGTGTGTGTTGTGGACATTAAAAATGTGGATAGAAAAAAATGTGGACGAGAAAATTGTGTACATGTGAATTGTGTAAAATCTCAAATTGCTTACAACTTCAAATTTGGGTTAAAAATATGTTGACTGAGCCGCATACGTTGGTTCAAGGATTAACGTAAAACTTTGAAATGAGAAAGTTCGAATATAGTTTGAACACTCATGAACTTTCTATGGAAAAATGTGAATCAAATAAATGTGGACACAAGATTATGGATAGTTGAACATGAATATAGAATTTGTTAAATGGAATAAAGAACTAACAAAAATCGTAGACACTAGAACAAATAAACAGCAAAAATTGTATCCACATCGACAAAACAAGTGTAATCATATTTGTTGTCGTCCTCCCACAGAAACTAGAATTACATTTGCTAGACTAACAAAGCTAAATGGCATTAGATACGTAAAAAAACTAAGCCATTAGAAAATAGAGATGCAAACAAGAAAAGGATATGTGTTTACTTGGCTTCAATGGAGAGCATGTGCAGATGAAGGGCTTATCATCTTCTCTCAAGCCAACAATCACTGGTTGGTATAAGCAAGGTCCAAATCTGAAAAAAACATCAAATCTGATTATTTTTTGAAGTCATTATCCATAGACAAACTAAGCAATCTCAGTCTTATTTTTTTAAGTCATGATCCAGAGACAAAACAATTTGGCTCACCGTCTGGATAGAAGAAGCTTGAGAATAACCATCGACAAAGTTGAGAGCCTTATTTAAGATATCTTAGATTCCAAAATGGGGAAAAAATTAACTCCGGTGAAGTTTCACATGGCGACTACGGGTGTGTCCTAGCTCGGTTTGAGTCTTGGTCGGCGGCTACAGCTTCTTTTCGCCAAGAGGAACACAGCGGTGGTCTCAGATTTTTGATAAGATTAACGAGCTGAGAGATCAAGTCGAATTACTATCCGAAAGTGGAGAAAAAGGTTGATAGCGTCGAAACTTCAGATGGCCATTACAGATGCATCTGAGCTCTGTTTGAGGCGTGGTAGGAAGCTACGGATTCATTTCGTCGACAAGAACATAGTGGTGGTCTCGGATTTTTTTAAGGATCAATATGCTAAGAGATCGAAGCGAAATTCTATTTGAAATGAGAGAAAATTGTAATCTTGGATGGTTTGAGTTAAAAGAGAAGTAGAGCATGTGAAAAATCTTCTTGATTTCCAGTTTTTTATGTTCATCGACTGACAGATGAGGAAGAAAGGAATTGAAGCGATTTAGAATTGAATCTGGAAGAATCAATGTGAAAAACTCAAAATAGAGATAAGAGAAAGAGAGAGAGAGAGAGTATATACTTTTCGACAAAAGGTTTTTATATATTTTAGTTTAGTTATGAATAAAGTTTAGTTTAGTTAAAAGGAAAATTGGAAGTATAGTTGGGGTAGAAAAGTCATATCACAATGAGAAAGTGTGTGTCATGCAATAAGTGTTTTAACATGTAAATTGAAAGTGAAAATGTGTCTCTAGATGTAAAAAAATCAATAAATTTCAATGGGAGTTCGATTTGGATTGATGATTTTGGTTTAATCCAATACTAAAATTAACACCTCTCTGCTTGCCCTACTAAATTCTCTTGAGATATTTGTGTAGGCAGATACAGTAACAAATAAAATTTGCAAAAGTTCTTCCATTGTATACATGGTTTTGTATAACAACGCGACGTATCTAGACTATAACAATTAGTACTCGGATTTAATACCATTAATCTAGATATTATCTTAAATAAGACACAAAATTATATGATTTGGAAAATTAGGAAAATATATTCTACAATCGAATATCTTATCCATTGAACCGAACTCAACTCTTTAGGCTCTTATAAACGGTCTTTTGGTTTTAAGCAAATTGCATTGGAACAGTAACTAAAGACAATTGTAAGAACATACAGAAGTCATGGATCCTCCTTCATCTCAAATGGTCCCTCTTCTTTCTCTCATTATCATCATATTTCTCTTATCTTGATTATTCCATCAAAACTTTCTTCCTTTTTGTGTCCTGCAGACTTGCGTTCTAAGGCTGGATACCGAGACTAGTGGATGGGACAAATCTATGCATAAGCTTTTTAAAGGCGTTCAAGGTTCTTTTAATTCTTTCTCATTTGTTTTATGTACTTTTTCTGCTAAAGACTGTAGTAATAGAATCAGTTAACTGAACTAAAAAAAATCCACAGACCGATCTATAATGTTTTTTTTTCTATATTAATATAAGATAAGCTTCATCATCACATGAGGCAATCTGAAATATGTGTTAACTAATGATTTTGACGTAAGTATCATTATCAATGAGGCAATTTGAAATGCTTACAAACGTAAATAAAAAATGTGACGTAGAAATTTACAGAATAGATAAATATCATAAATGATATTATTTTATTTTACAAAGTTTAATTTATAATCTAATACATAAATTACAATAATTATAATTAATTATCTTTATTTTAATTATCACAATACTATAGGTTTAAACGGAGCATCCATCAAGAGTGCTTTTTAAAAACACTAGTTCTAAAGAGTAGTTATTAACAGTTTATTTTAACAATTTCCGTAGTCAAATTAACATAGATATATGTGGTCGAAATGTTTTAACTACGAGATTCGATTTAAATTTATTTTATTTTTTTATGATTTAGATTTAGTTTATGGTATTTTAAACACCCTTGTCAATAGTCAACAAAGTCAATTAAATCGTAAAATATTTTTCACTGAGAACTGATTATTTTTGGGGGTATGCGTGCATGATTATGAACAGATGTGACATACACAATCGATGCAACAAGAGGATTAGTTTATCTATCAGGAAGAGCCAGCCCTGAGATTGTTCTAAGGATTCGTAAAGCGAAGAAACATGCAAAGTTAATCCACATGGATTATGGTCACGTTACTCCTCCTCCTCCTCCACCCTACAACCCTCCTAATCCTTTCGAAACCGTACCTATCTCATACAATTACCAAAATACTTCGCCGTATCCGTCGCCGATGTACCAGCCTACGGCGCCGCCGTCTCCGATGACGCAGAATATGTACTACCGTCAAGACCCGAATTTCCAACAACCTCATCCTATGGCGTTTCCGTATAACTACAATCCGTACTACGTACCGGAGGTGCTTCACTATCCACCGCCGTATATACCGACGCGAGACGCCGTCACCGGCGAGCAGCAGTGTCGTATCTTGTGAAGAGGATGTCGTATTAGCGCTTTAAGCATTGGTTTGGTATTAATTTTTTATATATCAAATCGTGGACAATCACATTTCTTGTTTTTCTTTTTAACCACATTTCTCATACTGTAATCACAAGGCGATGATATTAATAGCAGACTTCAGAAAGTTATGAACTTAATAGATTATGTTTCAAATTGTCTATAATGACGGAAATACATGATTCCAATTGTGCTTAACATAACATTTTTTATGCATTCGTGTCATAATATGAATTTAGTGCCGCGCCTACGTTTTTAGGGGACTAAGGTGAGTTAAAAAAAAAGAATAAAAACTAATATAATTTTTGAAAATATAAAATCAGAAATCCAATTAAAAATAAAACAAATTTTTTTATCTTTTGGGTCTTTAAGAATATTAATTCAAAATGTTTTATTAAAATATTATGTATCATGAATTTTAATTTTTAATCAAACATTTCATTATACATTCTTAATATACATAATAATCTATTCTAGTTTTAATTCTTAATCCTATTGTAGCTATTAGCGTTAATTATTTAAAACCTTTAAGAAAGTTGAAAGTATATTTAAGTATTGAGTAAAAAATACGAAGCAAAAATATAGAAATTAAAACAAATAAAGTTAACACAATATTAAAGAAGCTAAGTTTTACCTCTGCAAATGATAAAAATGAGGAAAAATGGAGCTCATGTATAGTATTAATACAAATATTATACCAATGAATATCTAAGTTACCAAAAAAATATTATAAAGAAAACTCTGCAAGCATTTGTAAAAATGGGGGCCAGCTAAATTTCCATTTTTAGATGGAGCCCGAGGCAATTGTCTATTTTCTATAAGGGTAACCACGCCCCAGTGAATTATGTCTCCTTTGATAACATGAAAGTGTGAAACGGGAATCACGTTTATGTGCTAACTAAGAGCAGGTTTATCCCAAGCGCTTAGGGGATTTTTAGAGGGGGAAACCACCAAAAAGGGGGAAAACCAGCGCTTGTGACTCTCCTATAAGCGCCGAGTTTTGGCTGGTTTTTGGTCTGTTACGCGGGCCCCACGACACGTGGCGGCCCGCGATTGGTTGCTTTTTAGTTTTTTTTTCTTTTTCTTTTTTTTAATTCGAAAAAAAAAAGAAAATTTAAGCACCCCACTTTTAATAAAGTGGGATAAACATGCTCTAATGAGCCTCTGAATCAAGTTTCACAAGCGCCCATCAGTTTGATTAATTTATTTGAAATCGTTCACCAAATTTAACAACTCCACCAATGGACACAAGGATTTGGATAAGTACTGAAACGGCAAGGTAATGAAACAGGGTTGAGGTTTAAATATTTAGAACATTCAAAGAGAAAATAGAGTAGAGAACTGAGACTGAGAAAATAATGGAAGCGGCAAGAATGTGTTTTGGTCCTAAAACTCTCCCTCACCTTCGCAGCGTTGCTCATCTTTCTCTTCCGACCAAACTCTCGCTATTTCTTCACAACAAAATTACTCTTTCTGGGAGAACCACAAAACACAAGTTTCTGTTGTGTGTTAAGGCTACAAGTGAGAGTAGTCGTCCATTGACTCACTTTGCTCCATCTCTTTGGGGAGATCACTTCCTCTCTGCTCCCCTAGACTACTCCGTAAGAACCTCAGACAAAAGAAACACCTGATCCTATATATGTGTTTCACAATCTATCATTGTTGCAAAACATGATTAATATAGACTTGAATAAACTTCTTTATATATAGGAATATGATGCACTAGAGACAGAGATCGAATCGGGTTTTAAACCAAAAGTGAGAGACATGCTCATGTCCTCTCACATTGGTGACAAGGAGAGGATATGTCTCGTCCACTTGCTTGTCAATCTTGGTACATTCCATTACTTTGAGAAGGAAGTCGAAGAGATTCTCGATCAGTCTTTTCTGAAGCTGGACAGTTTATTTGCGGACGAAGACGGTTTGGAAATAACTGCCATCATGTTTGAGGTTTTCAGACGTTACGGACACCATGTTTCTTGTGGTAAGATGTACTCAGTTAACTTTACTCACATATTTAAATGCATGCATATTTTTATAACATGATATCTATCTATGTTTCAATTTAGATGTGTTCAATAGATTCAAAGGTGATTATGATAATGCAAAATTTAGAGAGCACCCAGTCAGTGATGTTAGAGGAATGCTACAACTGTACGAAGCAGCGCATCTCGGGACACCCTCTGAAGGTATAATGGATGAAGCCCTGAGTTTCACAAGGTATCATTTGGAACTTTTGGCAGGCCAAGAAGCGACCATTCCTCCTCATCTCTCAAGACATATACTAAGTGCATTGTACAAACCTCAGTTTCTTAAGATGGAAATAGAAGCTGTGAGAGAATATATTTCTTTCTATGAAGAAGAAGAAGGTCATAATGATACGTTGCTCACTTTTGCAAAGCTCAACTTCAAACTTTGTCAGCTCCATTACCTCCAAGAGCTAGAAACTCTCACCAGGTACGTTGTCGTAGTTATATTTATTTTAAGCGTTTTTCATATGATTTCTCAATCTTTTTCGCCAAAAATATATGGACTTCAAGGTCAAATTAATAAATAATATCCTTATTTCTCTTATATGTTCTTTAAGATTTTATGTTATGTTAAGTGTAGGATTTCTATTGGTCCATCTTAGATAAATCTTATTGTTGGATATATAATTTATTCATAGCTCAACTCTAAACCAAATAGTGAGTTAATTAGTATGTTGCATTTTTAATCCTACTTCAGATGTGACATTTTTAAAACACTTTTCATTTGATGTTATTGAAGATGGTGGAAGGAAAATAATCTTGCATATAAACTACCATACGTAAGAGACAGGCTTCTTGAGACCTTTGTCGGGGCTCTGGCTACGTATTTCGAGCCACGCTATTCACTTGGGAGAATTATAGTCTCTAAGATTTCCATAATGATGGTAGTTATGGATGACACATGTGATGCATATGGATCTTTATCTGAAGTTAGAAGTCTCATTGATTCCTTGCAAAGGTTTGTACTGTGCATTTTATGCATATATCTTAATATCATATGGTGTTAAATAACAACAAATTGCATGCATGGGAAAATCCATAAGGTGGGATCTTGGTGCCATCTACGAACTACCAATTTATTTGAGAATCGTCATCCAAAGTATAGTAGACACTATGGAAGATATAGAAAGAGAAATGAAGCCTAGAGGAAGATCATCTAGCGTGAAATACACGGTAGAAGAGGTAAGTCAACCAATTTGTGGCTCAATGACTTATTGGCTCAATGAGTAGAAGTAATAAAGTTTGGGCGTTATAAATTGAGCAGATTAAGAGACTTGGGAGAGCGTACGAAAACATATCGAAATGGGCACGAGCAGGTTACGTTCCAACTTTTGATGAGTACATGGAGGTCGGGATAGACTCGTCAGGGGTACGTTGCTTTACAATGTACACCTTTATGGCGATGGAAGATTGTGATGAGGATCAAACCATCGAGTGGTTCAAATCCGAACCGAGAATGATTCTAGCTTTGTGTGTTATATTCCGTCTTGAAAATGACATAGCCGGATTTGAGCAAGAGATGAGGAGAGGAGAGGTGGCTAATGGGGTGAATTGTTACATGAAGCAACATGGTGTTACTAAAGAAGTGGCGGTTAGAGAAATCAAGAAGATAGTTAGAGATAATTGTAAGATAGTGATGGAGGAGTTCTTAACGATAAAAGATGTGCCGCGACCCATTCTGGTACGGTGCATCAACACTATACGACTTGTCAATGTGTATTATAGGGAGGGTGATGGATTCAGTGATCCCCATGGAAATCTCAAAGACCTTATCACGTCTTTGTTCATCAACCCTCTTCCTCTTTAATTCAGCATACCTATGTTTCCAGATTGGGTAGTATATCCTATGCTGTAAAAGAAACCAAATGGGGATGTAGCTCAGATGGTAGAGCGCTCGCTTAGCATGCGAGAGGTACGGGGATCGATACCCCGCATCTCCAATTTATTACTTTTTACTCTCTTTTTCCCCCAAATCGTGTATAAATTGTATATCACTTTGGTGGCTGTCACCTAGTTTTGTTTATCACTTTCGTTAAGAATACTAGTCTGGGGTCATGAAATGCACGTATTATTATTATCGGAATATCTTGAAACTTAGAAGATTATATCATTTTAAAATAAGGTATTTTGAAATGCACGTATTATTATTAGTCTACTTTATTTTAAAAGCTGGAAGAGAATCTGAGAGCACTGTTGGAGCTGGCAGCCAAGAAAAGCTATTCTGAGGTCTGAAGCTCCATATCAAAGGACTTGATGAGCATGCCCGTAATATCGGTTAATCTTCGTCGACTGCAAAGAACAAAGAAAAAAAAAAGATTATTAACATATTCAGAGCTTTGCACTAATAAACCCTTTTCTCCAGTTAGGGGATTCTTCTTTTTGTGATCAACTTAAAATCATCAGCATTGAGCTCTTTTATTCTTACCTGTATGACCCCTGAGATGTCTGGTGAAGGCTGAGGGTAGAATTTGTAGCACCTGATGCTTTGAAAGGCTTGCTTAGTTTCTTCACTCATTTCTTCTATTGCTTTCAGTCGAGCAGCTTTGGCCTGCAAGAATAAAAACGCAGTACTTTTCTAAGCATAAAGTTTCATAACATGTAGCTTACATACAAACACTGATTTTCTCAGCCATATTACATACTCCTTCCGTTTGAGTTTAATTGTCATTCTAGATTTTTGCACACAGATTAAGGAAACATTTAATTTTATATATTTTCAATATAAAAACACAATTACCAATACACCTAACCACTTTTTAACCAATAGAAAAATAGATTATCATATAAACCTAATAAATGTTGCCTCGAAACTCTAAAACGACACTTATTTTGAAACGAAATTTTTCATATAGAATGACATCTAATTCGAAATGGAGGGAGTATATTTTACCTCTTGCCTAGTTCTCCTTTCTGCTCGAACATGCTCTTTGACAAAAACCTGAGAAAAAAAGACGAGTAAGCACAAATAAGGAGTGGTGATTAGAGATGTATTCTAGCGTCATTAACGGACAGATTTTGTTACAGCTCCAACACTTACTTTGAATTCATCCTTTTGTTCCGCGGATACTTCTTCTATATCAATCATGTAATCAGCAAATGCCTGAGATAAATGCACAAAAAACCACCTCAAGATTCAGCAATACAATGAATGTTACTTATTAAAAAAGAATGCAATTTGAACACACAAGAACAAGTAATTATAAGTTTTATGGCTACAGAAAAGCCAAACACACACCTCAAGTCTGTCAAAACTCCAGTCAAATTCACATACAACCTGCAAACAGAAAACCAAAGCTTGGATTATAAAAAAAAAAAAAAAACATAATACTCAAAACAATCATGAAGATTTGCCACTTCCAACACATTCATTGCATGCCTGAAAACTTACCGGCTCTTCAGAGGGGAAAACTAATTTGACCTCAGTACTATTTTCAAGTTCATCTCCCTTAAACGGATCATAAAAATCTGCAAAGCAAAACAAAAGGAAAAACATAAGTTTTCATATATATATATGGTTTTCCCTCTGCAACGTTTTTTGAGTAGTGGAAGAATAAAAACTCACAAGGAAGGCAATAGTTGAACTTCTTAAAACGCTCTTCCTTCAAATGTTTGAGAGCAGATCTGCAGATTATGTACAAAGCTAAATTGAGTTATACATTCAAACATCACTGAAGGAAAAAATAACTCATGACACTATCCAGTTAATATGTTGTTTCCAGTTTCAGATATTATATGTATTGTATCTGAAAAATCATTTCCTAACCATCGATTATTTTCCTCTTATCAGTCATTTAAAGCATGTTAATTTCTTACCTCCTCTGTGTACAAGCCAAGATAAAAATTTCACACTTCATCCTATCAATATGTCTATCTCTGCAAGAAGAACAAAACAAAAGTAATTAGCAATAAACATCAAATAGTAAGAATAGAGTCGAGGCATGATAATCTCCATCTCTCTTCTCAATGAGCCATAGGCCATCCCAACAAATGTACGTGATACCTTTTCTCAAAGGGAATGTAAGGAACCCATTCCATTTTCATTTGCTTCATTGGAATGATGTTCTCGGTTGCACTCTGAACCGATGTGACTGCTAACTTATCAGAAGGCGGAAAGGGTGACTCAATCTGTATACATATTAGAAAGTTAGAAATAAGAATGAGATAACATGTATATGATCAGTGATAGCAAGAAAGCCGTTGAGAGAGAATTAAACGATAACTCACAGCAAAAACTGTTGGGAGATAGACAACATGAGATGGACCACCTTTGTAGCTGATCCATTGGGCTGTGAACATAAAAGAGAAGATTAATTAAACAAGTACTAGAAACAAAGGTTAAAAGAAAATGAAGAAAGAAACATATGTTACGTTCTGTATTGACAAAGACAAAGACTTTCTTCCCGTAGAGCATTCCTCCTTCCTCCAATGCTTCCTGAGACACAGATGAAGAAACATAAATCAACCAGAATTTCCTCAACAATATATAGACAAGTGAGAGTGTAACCCAAACAACTTACTTCAAGATGCTTGAAATCCCAGTTGAAATCATAAAGTTTATCTAATACTTCCCACTGCAATCACAATTTAAACGACCATAAGCAAATAATATATCAATATGGAGCCAGTAACTTAATCTCTCGTATATTTGCATGATCTTAACCTTCATTTTGTGTATATATTGATCATTTAGACTAGCATTTAGGTTTGTTTAGATTGCACTTAGCTTGAGTTCATGACTTGCATTCTCATTGCTTAGAACAACTTAGGATTGGATTGACAATCTTAAATATTACATTGATTTGACTTAGGAACCTAAAAACTCCTTATCATAATTCTGGTGTATGTTGAAGCCAAATTAATTCCACAAAATAAGAGTATACCTCAGTTCCCACTGGAAAAGCAGCCTTCCACAAATCTTCCTGGAAAGAAGACACAAAATAAAACTCTTAACATTTAATTAATAGGTTAAGTTATAATAAGAAAAACCAACTACCAAACAAGTGAACATAGAGGTCTAAAACGTATCTCATTGTTGTTTTCAGAGCATTATCATATATGTATAGCTTAAATAACCTAAACATACAGCACAACTTAATCATACAAATTGCCTTTGATCACAATGATATATCAAAGACTAAGTAACTAGCTAGGGTTAGCAAAGCATACCAGATTACGCTTCTCTTCCAAGTACTCAGGCTCAACCTTGGTCGGTCTGGCTTTCTTTTCTCTAGGAGCGTATTTCTTTACATCATCATGACCCTTCTCAGTTTCCTTGTTCGTGGCCCTCTTTCGCTTACCACTACGACGTTGAACAGGCTTCTTCTTATCCTCATTGACTACCTTGCCTATGTCTTCCTCCTGCTGAGAAGGAGATGCATCTTTGAATTCACCACCCTGAGGCTGAGTCTCCTCCTCGAAAGAATCAATCATCACCTCATTGCTCTGAGTTTTTCTCATCGCTCCCTTACTCATAATTGCTCGAAGTTATAGATGAGCAGCCTAAAAGGAGGAAGTTATAAGGTATAACGCGTTTGAGAAACGCTACTGCAACAGCAGCGAGGAAGCAAGGCGCAAATAGAAAGAGACAACTCTAGTGTCAGGGCTTATATTTAGAACCTTTTGCCCTGGGTGCGTGATCTTGACGCATCCAAAATATATTTGCGTCGTTGTTACGTTAACGTAGAGTTGTGGCTATAAGCCCACTATGATTTATAACAATTTTTCTTATTAATTACAGATTAATGAATTATTTTATAAAAATTGGAAAATTCTAATGTGATTTTGTAGTATTTTTCTTCAACAGATTTTGTTAGAATTTTTAAATAATCTAAAATATTAAAACTGAAGTACAATTTATATTTAGCCCTGATTTTTCCATAATAATTACCAACCTATGCCACTCGATCCTAACATTAAATCTGCTGAAACTTTCATTATAATCAGTGGATTTCGGTAAGCCCATTAACAATATGATGATCAATAATAATTATCAAGGCCAAAATCTGATTGTAAATTAAAAAGCTATTATGTTTTGAATATTAGTTGAACGATGACACTATCAAAACGTGTATATTATAATAATACATACACAACCTCTTAGTCCATATACACATATTGATTTTAGATTTAAATCAAACGGTTTAAGAAATCCACTGGTTTTGTTTTGGTTATTATAAAATCATACAGTTTAAAATCCATGGATTTTGTTTTTAGGCTCACTTACCTACCCGAAAATTTTAAAATACAAGATATTTTAGAGAAAGAGATAATCTATTTACTACATACAAACAATGTATACATGCTAAATAACTTTTTTTTGGGACAAATTTTACATGCTAAATAAGTTATGTAAATGATATATTACTGGTATATAGAGTCATAGACAACCAATTGAATACCAAATATCTAACATATATTTACTATTCAAATAAAACTTGATTTTCATATGAACTAAGTCCTAACAAATTTCTAAAATTTTGATCACCACTAATTCTTTCATAGTATCTTCTGAATTATTCACCATAATTTCAAATTAAAAAAAAAATTCTATAAATATGATTACACACTAGGCTTCATTTGGATATTATAAATTTTCATATGGATTTCAAATCGGTTAATCCCAAGATAAAAAATAATGTATCAAAGACCGGTTTGGATATTTGCACTAAAAGAAACAATATTAACTAATTTAGTTCAGTTAGTTTGAATTGAAACTAAACTTAACTTAAAAATAACCGAATAACCAAAACTAAACACATTACTCTATTTGATTCAGGTTCGATTCTAATATATATAAAACTAAAAATATTCAAATATACTTATACAGTTAATATATTATGACACATATAAAATATATAATACTAACCATGAAAAACAAAATATCAATTTATAAAAAAAAAATTAACATCCGCACGGATGTGCAAATCAATCTCTAGCTTACGATTAAAAACGAAAGCATGCGACATAAAAAATTCTAAGAAGCTATGTTTTGGAGGAAGTAGAGAGGAAAAGTAGGGGTCATAGTTATAATTTGTGAGCTTCTTTATTTTTAAGAATATTATTTAACTTGGTTTCATAATTATTTTTGTTTCTCTAAATAATCTATTTGTTTTTTAAATTCTCAAAAAAAAATAAATTTTATATAGAAAAACTCTCACATTTTAGTGCTTACTTTGCCAAATAAACTAAATAAAAGTAGAATAAAAAATACAATCTCATAAGTTTATAAGTGAAGACTAATCACATTGAACAAGACACATCAATGTTAGTCCTAAATAACATATGAATCTATAATATGAAAAATATAAACAATTAAATTTACTGCCTTTTCAAAAGTTAAAAATATATGATTATAAAAAATAAACACCCGCGCGGGCGCGCGGGTCAAAAACTAGTATATATATAAAATGAAAAGATATTAAAGGAAATTGATGACAAAAGAATAAAAGAAACTGTAAATGAAATATTGAGAATATTTTTATATTATCTTGTAGAAAATAAATACATTCAACGACGTTATGGATTGAGTATTTTTTGTTGGGATATAATAAAAACATATATTTAATACTTTTTAAGAAATTGTACAACTTAAAAGTCATATGATAAAGTCGTGCGATTTTGTTTTAATATGATAGATTAGATTTTGATCTGCGTTTTCAAAGCCGCGAAATGAATTTTCGGTCAAAACATATATAATGTTTTTTTTTCTTTATTCAAAATATGTTTGAGATAACATTTATAACCCGAAGTCTAACCGAACTCAAAATACAAAAATCTTATCTATATCCAATCTAAAATATAAAAAATATCGTAAGGGATCTTGTGAAGTGGTAGTGGTACAAAAAATAACAAGACTCGAAGTGTTATTAGCCAACCTAAATCGATAACCCAAAATATTCTATAAAATTTTGAAAAACTGATTTGAATGTTCAAATTAATCATAAATATAAATATTTTTAAAACATAAATATATAATTTCAATATTTAAATTCTCTATTTATCTTCGAGAGATATTTAGAAATAAATTATTAAATTTTAAAAAGTATAAATTATTAAATTTTAAAAGTAACTTAAATATATTGATTCTAGATAAATATATATTTATTTCTTACCTTTTGCTTTAAAATTTTGGATGAAAGTTTGGAAATATCCAGACCAAACCAGGATAATATGATTATTTTCTGGTTGTAGGATGTGATACAAATTGAACCAAAACCAATGTGCTATATCCAAACCCCAATCCGTATTTACAAATTTAAAACATTTAGACTTTGGATATGATATAAATTAGAACTAAAATTCAAAATACCTAACCCTATCCTAACATATATCGAAACACTCAAGCCTAACTTAAAACCTAATTTAGATGGTCTATAAGTTTTTAAAATTTTATTTACCCAAAATTATAAATTATATATATATATATATGTACTTTTATAAAAAAACTTTTATTTTTAAAGAATACTAATTAAATTAATTCTTTTATAAATATAACTGTATGGAAATAAGATAATTATTTGCCCTTTGTCAAAAAAAAATAAGATAATTATTCATTTATATAACCCACCTCATATTAATTTTAGTTATATTTAAAAAATTAATATGAATCTATTTTTCATTGTTTACATTTTTATAAAATGATTTGCAAGAAACTATAATTGTAAATCATAATATACAGTTCAATAAACCATATAATCAAATAATATTAATGTCAACTAAATTTGTAATATATTTTATATTAAATTATATCCTAATATTCTAATTCAGATATGTATATATAAATATAAAATTATTTCTTATTTTAATTATCTTACTTTAGTATTTTGCTTTAATAAGTTGAAGTTTGTTGTAAACTATATAAATTTATGTTATTCTGTAAATATTATTCATTTAGTTTATAATTTATAAAAAATAGATTAAGTTATTATATAATTATTATTTAGTGTAATTTGTAATTACAAATATGAAATATTTTTATATAAATATTAGAGAAGGTTATTTCTTATTCTATAAATAAAAATGAGTTAATACTCTTTTGTAATTGAATTTAATATTATTTATGATTTTTATTGTTAAAATAATATTAACACAATAAATATTTATATTTTAAATTAAAAGATGTTAAAAGATATTGTTAAAATGCAATCTAAAAACGTAGTTAAGAATATCTTTTTAATATCTTATTTTGAATATATTTGATAATATGTTAAGATTATGTGTTTATATAATAACAATTAAGTTTGTTATATCTAAAATAACATAAAATTAAATAAATGTGATGGTCTAACGTAGACTATTTGCAAGTAGATAAAAACTAATTCTGTTTTAATAGTATTGATTGGTAGTAAATAGATTGATTGTCTATATATTATTTATATCTCATGGCACGTTTGATGTAGGACTTAATATTGTACACACCCTTTCGAGAAAATAGTTAGTATAACCATTAATATCTATAATCGGAATCTATAACTCGGATTCAGACTGCCAAACCATCCAGGTCAGACCGGTTTAGGATCGATCGGACCTCTTTCGATGGACCGGATCAATTTTGGTTTGGTCGGACAGTGTATGTTTGGGCTTTGTTAAGTTTAAACTTACTAGATATTTTCACCGCTACGTGCGGTTTATGTATTTTGATTGTATTTATTTCTTTAATAATTTTCATTAGTTTTATAATTTTTATTTTCTTTCTTTTCAGTAATTTTTTTTTTTTTTGAATTGAAATGTTAAATTTAAACTCAAGAAAAAAAAGACCTTACATCAGTTGTTTTTGTTTTTATGAAAAGAAAGCATAGCTATTAAACAAAAACATAATTTCTCCTATCTTGTACTAAACCAAAACACCATCCATTCTCTGTACTTCTCATCACCTCTTCTTTGGATCACTATGAATTGGTTCCTCATATTCTTGTCGGGTCTTTTTGCCAAAATCTCCACAGGAGTTGCCTTTTCACCATGTCTTCTCTTTCTTCGTTCACGCCATATGGTATGAACTGTAGATTGGAATAGGTATCTCATGGTAAACAACTTCACATTACTCCAAGCTCTTCTTCCCATTTTACTGTGAAGTGATCTCGAAGTATACCTCTCACTAGCATCTCCCACACCTGCGCTGAGTAGGTACACTCAAAGAAAAGATGGGTTAAAGTCTCCGAAGGTTCCTGGCACAAGACACATGACACAACAGCATTTCCATTCCAGCACTGCATTCTATCACCTGTTGCTAATCGATTTCTCATAGCAGTCCAAGTAATGACTGAGTACTTAGGAGTGGCATGTTTGAACCAAACTGCATTATGCCAATGGAAAGGAAGATGCCTTTACCGTATACTGAGCCACGTACTTCTCGTTGAAAAGACTTTCTTATAATTTTCTTTCTCATCCTTCCATAAAGATATATCTTTCTCTGAATTCTACTTCTCTTTAACTTTCTCTATTTCCTCCTCAATACTATTGAGTTTTTGGATTCGATGATACCACCTTCTGCGACGAGTTAAACTATCATTCACACTAGCATTGAGCTTGACA